TATATATAATATTATATAATATACAACGTATTATTAAAATTATGTTCTTTATATATTGATGTTTACAAAGATAATAAGAATCTTTAGTGTAAATTATAATTGTAGTTATTTGAAATTGATAGTTATTATACAAAATTATATTATACGATGACATTGTGTGAACATATATTATTTTAGTAAAAAATACATAGTTCTATATAGTAAAGTAAGATTTAGTGTATGGTAATAATAATATTTAATGTAAGATATAATGTAAATAATTATTCTCATCTATAAATGAATGTTCTTTGTACTGCATTACTTTTTAGTCGCGTATGATCTCATTTACAATATATAAGAATAAAGAATTCTTATATAAGACACCGTTAATCAATGAATTAAGTTGAATCAATTAGTTCGATATCTGTCACATTAATCGTTTTTTATTACAGAATTGTTGGATTGTAGGATAGCAACAAAACTCAATGATAAGATGGATAGAATATATAGTTCTTTATTATATTATTCTTATTTGCACAGACAATGCTGATTATTGCTTAGTCATTAAAGTTTTAATGATTGACACATCGAGATATCCGAATTACGAAACGAGTCGGATAACGATTTCAGAAGGAAACCCTTTCGCAGGGATATGTCCTTACCATTTGTTTTATCTACATATTTATATATATATACGTCAATGCTCAGTGGCATGAAAATATTGGCATATATTTCAACGTGTTTACATTTTAAAAACAAAACGTGGTATTTTTATTTCAAATTACTTTATTTCGAGCAGAGATATATTTTCATTGCACATGAGCGCAGGTACTAGAGAAAAGGTTTTTTTGGGGCACTGAACACTTTGATTGTAGCCCCGTAAGGGTATTGTATCTAGTTTGTCTTTTGTGAGAAACATTTTAAGTTCTTATTTACGGAAATGTATTTTATTTTTGAATAAACAGTATAATTAATTGCGAATTTATTATTTTGTAAAAACATCGATGTTTCCTGTTTTTACTTCCGTTATTCTCATTGATATAAAATAAAGTAAAACTTTTCCATATGTATTATTTTCCGAAAATAATATATAATATTTTTTCAAGTTAACTTAAATATTAGGGCCAATATTATTGAAATTATTCCGCCGGAGAGAAACTGCTTAGACAGAAGGATATAAGTGTTGGTCCCTTTTATAATCCGTTAAGACAAACGTTGTATACTCTTACGGGTCCTATTTGCTTTTTTTTTGGCACAATTACTAGCGAACACACATGATTAAAATTATATCACGATTGGTCCGTGATCCTCGCATTTAGGCATTACGAACAAAAGAACGTATATATTCACACGTACGCCACTTTGTCTCCGCACATTATGCTATTTATTGATTCGGGCACGAAATTAAGTTAACTCTTGTCAATCAAATTGAGCCGGTCAGTATTGTCTTTCTCCATTGATGATTTATATTGACAGTGTCGATTTTATAGCGTTCCACTGCACAGTTTTCGACTCACTGCTCAATTGTAATGTTTAATGAATGATCAATTGTAACACGTTAATTTCCAACAACATTATCACTATTTAACTTTGAATTATGAATTGACTACCGAGAGGTCTAGCCGATTTTTGAAGTATTAATTTGAGAAGCTATCTAACAGATGCTACATTTTAATGTTATAATTTTCATGTGTTATATGTGAATTCTTATGTTAGACATGTCGCAGTTGCAAGTCCATAGTGCAGCCCTAATTTATTACTTGATATCACGCTGCATAATTATCTTTTGCTGTCTATCACACGAAACATCTAAATAAATGTTTTTAATTTGATTTACAGATTGTCTAAACGGCTACGATTGATACGAATTTTGTTCAAATTCTTGTCCCACTTTCGACAAAACGTTAAAATATTAGATGATGTTGCGAGTGGAACACGAAAAAATCAACATAGTTTGGAAACTCTCCCTGATATATCGTTCCTTTTAAATAACAATTTTATCACTTGGACAAATTGTCACGATCACATGCACAGTATTACGCTACAGAAGTCGGTCTTTTCTCTTCGGAGGAAGTTCCAACCTGACTATCGACATCGGCGTTCGATTCCTCCCCAGGGTTATCCATATCCACCACCGAAATCACTGGGCTCAATGGACGAGACTTTGGTTCCTGACAAAAGTTCGTATCGTGCCGAGTCTCTAGAGTGGAATCATTCTTTAAGGACGCGGAGTCGCTCGGAGTAGCACCTATTATCTTCAGGGATGAAGAGGATGACGAGCTCGACCGAGTCATCTTCTGCTCGTATTCGGCAGGGCTGTTTGCCTCTTGGCTGTCATTTTCTTTGAACAATTTCCTCAAATCGCTGCCCAGTCTGGTATCGATTGGGCTCATCTTTGAATCCACAGTGATGGTCAGGGCCAAGGAATCAGGCGGTTTCCTGCCTCTCACAGTATTAGCCAGCTCGCTGAAAGGAACTCCGACCTCACTCGTAGCCCACACGTCGGAATTGGGGCTGTACGAGCCGCGGGATGTTATTTGTGTAGTCTTTGGTTTCGTCGCGTCTTCCATCGAGTGCCAACGATGCGGTCTCGAGATCGATGTACCTTGTGCGATGGCACTCAAGCTATTCGCCGGGACTATTCGATGAGGAAATCGGGGGGACCCACGTATCTTCTCTCGAGAGGATGATCGACTCGTGCTTGCCTCTGAAAAATTTTTTTGTTTTTATCACAGCATTTAAACTTTTTTTATTTTATTTATTTATTTATTTTTTTTTTTTTTTTTTTTTTTTTTTTTCAGAAGTCTATTTTATGCATTTTTATATATTTTGTATAATAAAAATTCGTCCTGAGATTTCTCTTTTTGTTCAACAAAATTTAATGTTAAATTTTAATTTATAGGTAATTTATACGATAAAATTACTGCATCATATTTGACATTTACGCCATAAAGATATTTTAGGTAAAATGTTTAATTAAGAGAGATATGTTGAAATTATGTAAATCACTCACGTGGCGGTAAGCTGAAATTTACTCTAGGTTCGCTACTTTCCTTGCGACGTAGCCCCAGGCTCAATCTACGGTCTTCCTCGCTAGTAATACTAATTATTGGTCCTGAACCGCATCGTGCATGAGGCGAGTGAGTGCCTTGGGCATCTACCTGGCAAGTAGAGGCTGCCTTCGTGCCAGGCACTAAACCAGCAATGTAGCCCATATGAACTCGAAGAGCCGATGCAACTCCTAATGAAGGTAACAAGTGGATAAGTATAATTATATGTATATTAAATATTATATGTGAATTATAGGAAATATGAGAACTGAACATAAAATATAAATTACATTTACTAAAAAGCGAAGCTTATATAATATTACATATTATGCGAAATGTAATAGCGCTTTCTTTCTACCGATTCACGAACAGTTATAGATCGAAATATAATTCAAATAAAAACTATATTTGTTTCTCAAAAATATACATTTCATGAAACGATATAACAATTGAAAATGTAAAGTGAAAATTATCTTGATGTAATTACGCAGTTGAAACTTCCCACTCTTATTTTAAATTTTGTTCCGTAGCTGTACATGCTTTTATAAGAATGTTCTTTTGTGAGAGAAATTTTTTCGCTTCTGACGTCGTAATATACATGTAGTTAAATCGTGTCTGTCATCGCGTTAAGTACTTTTATTCTTTTATTCTTTTATTCTTCGACACTTTCTTACCTGTGAACGACGCGGTGGAGGTTTTTCTGCTACTCGGCCTGCTGCCGAAGAGACTGAAGAATCGTTGAAAAACGCCCAGGCGGCTCGGCCCTTCGGTCTCTCGGCGACGATGCAGCTTATAAAGGTCGGCCAGGCTTTGTCTGGGATCGTCTGGTTCCAGATCCGGTTGACTGCTAAATGCTACGGTACCGCGACGCATGCCTAATTTCAACAAGTCGTACATGACGCGAAATCCCATTTCGTGTCGAGTGATCATTATGATGGACACGCATTATTGCTTGGACTTGGGTTCCAGCTCTAGTCACCGGGACGTAAATTTCGCAGGAGTGAAAGCATGTGCGAATTCAGGCGACATTAATGCGGAAGCGAGTCATGAATCAATTTACATGAGCAGGAAGTATTTTGCATTGTCCGAAAGAGATTTATCTCTCTCACGATAATTTTAGAAGGATGAAGGAAGGACGAACAATATTTTTTATTATTTTTCCAGATTTTGATCTTAATCTTAATCCCCAATCTTTCTATTTTGAGAGATCATTATTTCTTAATCTTCATGTAATGCCTCCTAATTGAATTATGATTATGATGAATTATAAGTAGCTTTAGTATAAAAGAGTCGCCTTCGATAGAAGAGGAAGAAAGAAAAATGGATATTTCTTTTGTAGTAATAAAAAGCTATTGTAGCATCTCTTTTCCAATAATGCACGTTTTTGGACAAAAATCGAAATGTTTCCTAATGATACTATGCATTGTTCGAAATTTCTACCGCAATTGGTTCAAGATTCCGAAGATCATTAATATCGCGAATTGCAATTTATATAGAAATTCGGCGAAAGCACAATTTGAGTCTGCATAATTTATAAATGGTGTAACGACAAATCGATAATTAGTAGATATTTTCATCTAAATCTTCATTTGAATTTCAGTAACTCGGGCACTGCGATATATCATACGTGAGTTTATCATATATGATGTATGTATGTAATTTACGTAATGCACGGATGTATGCTGGATATCTCATCCGCCAGCGAAAAATATTTTCCTGCGATGAGTTTCTTGGAATCTAATATTTTTTCTAAGTGAAAATGATGTTATAACTTTTCAAAAATTTCGAATATGAATTATCTTAACTATTAAAGTTCAAGATAAATTTATATTATTTTTTAAGAATGGAAATTTTAGTGAAATTTAAACAAAACAATATCACGAAAATGCGATTCTCAAATCTTTTTCAATAAAAGTGTAGCTTCACAATTTCTCCGCGATTTAACTATTTTTCAGCGTTTGACAAGACACCTCGCGTGCATGCATAGACGGCGCACAGCCTTTGACCTCGTTCGATCCGGTCATGGTAGACATTCAGAAATATTGGGGTGGAACGTGCATTCGGTGTGCAGACTTGTATTCGGTATACCGTACGCGGAATTGTCCGGATTTATCAAGGGGATTCGGGATTTTGGTGACGCGGGCGCAATGCGAGATCTGAAGAACGATCGATATATCAGAAATGCATCAGCTGCGCTCACGAGCTCTCTCGCTCGCTAATAATACCGGATGATGTTCTCGCAATCACGGTCAAGTTAATGCGAACGATAATTGGTATACATAGGACATGAGGTACTCGATGCCTTGTATCACTTCGCGCAGCACCGCTGGTGAATCACCAAAGCGTAAATATGCATGGGCATGACAGCTGAAAGCGGATCTTTCGCGAGCGAAACGTGTAGTATTTGCACTGCAAATGGCACAATCGGGCGACGAGTTTTCAAAGGACGTTTCCTTTTGTAAGCGCGCGCGCAAAAAGTTGAGAATAAACAAATTAATTATAAAACATATGTATATATTTTGCGCATATCACGACATAAATGACAATCGAACGTTTGCATGTTCTCTCGACATTCTGTAAAAAGTAGCTTAATTAAACTGAGCGTAGTGAATTTATTTCTGTAATATTGAATGTCTAATTATTCGCGACGTGATCTCGCAAATTGATTAAATCTAAAGTTAATACTTCTAAAGCTCTATTGAAGGGGATTATTCAACTCTACTTCGATTCGTTAAAACTCGTTTTCCGCACTAAATGCAAAATTTTAGAAATATAAAAATTTATATCAAAATTTTGCTATGAATAGTTAACTTCACTATAAGTAAAGTCTCTGCAAAAATAGTGAAAGTTTTGAATGCTAAATTTACGCATGCATATATTCTTTTAACGATAATTCGTCACAAGTCTAATTGGTGAAACTTTTCAAACCATCTCAATGCCCAGGAAAAATTTCGAACAAGGTTTTCAAACGTCGAACACCTTTCTCTTCTACACTAACGTCTTCTATAATTCGAGCTCTTTTCTCACATTTCAACTCAGGCAAGCGAAACGTGGATGAACGTTTTTCAGGCAATTACGTGCAATAAAGGGATTTCTGTCACCTTTCTCGGACATCTGATCGACGGAAAAAAACGACGAAGTGAAAAAAGCATTAATACTTATGGTTCCTTCCTTCTCCTGCCAGTAAAACTCAATTCGTCGTGCAAGTTTTGACATGTCTATTCCTTCGCTTTTGTTCTGATAATGTATTAGTTGTACTTTTTTATTCTTTTGCCAAATTTCGTTTTTTTTTCTCAAATATTTATTTTGACGAAAAAAACTTGGCCACTGTTTTGTAAAATCAATATCTTCTTAGTTTCCAAATTTAATTCTAATAAAAAAATCAATCTATCCTTGACAAGACGATACAATATGAAAGATATACCGATAGTATCTTCTTATCTCCTTGATAACGTATAAAATTGTTCGATAACTTTTGTCGTCATTATAATTTGATCGTACTTCGAGAATGATTAATTCAACAACGAAAGGTAAATTCTAAAGTAAATTCGAATTTTTAGATAGCGAAGATGGAAATAGCGTCGTTTTTGCACGACAAATTTTTGTATCGTGACGTAGATTTACGCTTACCAGACGATTCTGCGGAGGGCCAGCTGGCTCGAGGAATGACCGGTGGTAGAACACTAAGCAATAACAGAGGCAAACCACCCCCGATACTTGGATTTCGTTGCGGAATTGAAGTACTCGATGAAGCGCGCGAAGGTTCCACTGTCTCTTGCGCCAGTTGCTTCTCCAATCTGGCCAATTCTAGTTCCAGCTGTGCCATCTCACGACGATAAACTCGGTTTTGCACTTCTACACGATACTGTAACTCTCTATTGTCAAAATGTCAACTATTTTTAGAGAGACGTCAAATTGCAGAATACTTCATTAATTATTGAATAAGCAATTCATTATCTATCTTTGCATGAATTATTAATTATCAAGTATGAATGGATGTTTCGTGAAAATGTGTAGAATCAATACAGAATCGAATTTAAATGATAAAAATCTAGATTAACCCGCTCACGCGCAAACGAATTTTAAAAGTAGATAGCGTAGCGTTCTAAATAAACAGTCGCTGTCGAATTTGTAATTTAAAAGAATTATCTCGTTTGAGAAATAAATACGCTCGTTGTGAGAAAATTGGCCAACGCGATATATGTTTTTGTCAATATTTCGAAGAGATACCGAAAGAATTTCAGCTTTTAAAGGAACATTGTATGAAGGTCGATCCGCTCGACCGATTAGCCTCGTAAAGGACTCTCTTACCGCCGTACCGAACGACACCATTATACTTTTACTGTTTCTTCTCGCAACTCTTAATTTTCCATTTTCCCCAGCTCGCTTTTACATCGGGGGGAGATTTTCTCTGCGGTCACTCACCTCTTGTCGTCCATGACAAATCTACGTGTATTGCATTCGATCTTGAGACCGAGACTCTGCACGACCGGGTCGGCCCTTTCGCCCCCCAAAATGTTCGCCAATTGGGGCAGAAAGAGCAGCGCCAGAGTCGCCGTGGTCGAAGCCAGAATCAAGGCAGTGATCGTGACGAAGGCCAGGGTCGCGCGGTCGGGCATCAGATTGGCTAGCACCACGACGATACCTGACGTGATTACTACGAAGTACACGCTCATACCGATGTATTGCGAGTCGTTTAGGGCTGGAATCTTTACGTGCCTGAAACCATCGGTGAGATTTGCTCATGCATATGTGCATCCAGTGTGAACTATTATTATGTATTATTCAATAATTGGCACCGATTTAACGGCGCGAGATACAATGGGCTTGTTCGTTTTAGCTGCACTGGGGCAGCTCTGGGTCTGCTCTAAACAAGATAATACAGGACAAACTATTTATCTGTCCTGTATTATCCTGTGTAGAGCAGAACCAGAGCAGCCCCAGTGTAGCTAAAACGAATAAGCCCAATATAGATTAAATATAGATAATTCTATCTCTAAACCGCTTAACTAATCGACGTTCGAGAAAAGCGACAAGCAAAGCAGGATTATAACCTAATATTTCCCGCGGGTGTTATAGATATGCGAGAAATTAATGTGTCCGATCCGCTTTAGAAGCGGCATAAAATATGCAGCAGATTATCTCTATCATCGGGGGAACCGGCCTGCTTTAGTGAGTCCGCGGACTTCGGAATATCTTTATCCTTAAGCTCACCTCGTTTCCCAGGCCATGTAGACTCCGACTACGAGCAGTAAACCTTTGTAAACGTAGAGAGCACTTAACCAACCGTTCGTGTGCTGCGAACGGCATACCTCTACCTGTTTGGGCAAATAAAGGTACGGGTTAATTGGCTACGGCTCGTTAGCGATAATTACTGTGGCGCAGTCGCGACACTCGACCATGGTCGCTCACCGAAGCTCGAGAATGTAAAATAATATCGTTTTTCTGTTTCAGATTTGAAAGCTATCATCTTTGCAAGTTACCTGAGGCTGATAGACGACCCCTCGATCCTGCGGACTATATTCCAGAGTCAAATTCTGCAAGTGGCGTTGCATCGGATCTAGGATCACCCACAGCGTCACCACGACGACGTCGATTACCAGAAGCATGCAGATTAAGAATATCAGCTGAGTGTCCTGGAGCAACTGGAAAACACAAAGTTATTTATGCATCTGTGTTCTCTCCAATGCGAAGAGCGGATGTGGCTGGAGAATTATTGTTCCCGTGCCGACAAACCTTATTCTTCACGACCCCGCTGCGGCTTCTGGTGAAGATCCTGTGCACTCGGTAAGTCTTTGTGAACATTGAACCGAAAGCCATGGAAAAGCCGGCTGATAATAGATACACTCTCGCCTGTAGATAAAAATGCGCGACGTTAATTCTTATTTTTTTAATAAGCACTCTTATTCCATTTATGCAAAAATTATTACGCAATTTTAATGACAATTAAAATACATGTAAATAATCTTCAATATCGGCGTATGATTGCTTATTACTGCACACGCATAATATATTTCGGCACTTTGATACATTAACTTTAATTGCTTTTCTTAAAAAGATTTTTAATTTGTCAGAGTAATGTGCCCTCAGTATAAAAGAGAGAGACAGGTCTTATAACACTGGATTTATAAGGCGCTTGTATTAATGAAAATTATTAGCATGTATTATGTAAGCGAAATTGACACCGATAATATTGATTGCGTCATCAAGGACATTAATATTCCTCACAATGGATGTTAATCACCTTGCACACTGCGGGATAATAACCATCGCTGTCTGGCAGCGTGGCATCGTCCAGTCCCAAAAGTATAACAGCACCGTAGACCAGGCCGCAACCAACGGCTGCCATATTATTCAGCCTCGGGCTTGAAAGTTTTATGCTTCTGCCAATATCCAGAAATAATGGGGTTGAATGATATACCGTGATGATTTACATATAACTTCGTGGGTAGCAAGCGTTATTCCCACGAGTAAATAGTTGTTTATTTTCGAAAATCGTCGCTGGTATATTTTTCCATTAACTACAACAATTACATCTATCTATTTTTTTAAAAAAATATGCAATTAATAAATGTCTGGAGAATATATTCATCCTTCAAAAGTAATTTAATAAGCTTCTAGCTAAGCGTACGCGCTTCCGTAATATTACGTCTATTATGTACATGCATACGTTGCTTATATTGAATACTGAGCTTACTTGTGCTTGCGAAAGTGGAGATTAAAGGCCAGAAAAGCAAGAGCCAAGGTAACGCCGACACTGGCGATGCAGGTGATAGCGAGGAATGCAGCAGGTGCCACAGTCACCATTCGTAATCTGCGCGCAGTAACAAACTCGATCACTCGTGGCTCTTGGGTGAATTTCCGCGCGATGTTGCCCGAACGGCGTGTAAATTAATTTATCGCGTTGTTATGCGATGTTAATAATCGCGCGCTGCCACTACTGCCATGCAGTACATTACGCTTAATTCAGTACAAGCTGTAATTGCGTTATCGAAATATTGCGCAAACGCATGTCGAGCCGATTAAATATTTGACGGCGATGATTTGAGATGCGCCACGTATCTGTCCATTTATGCTCTATTGATTATTTCATCAACTTCACTGAACGCAGAAAGATTATTAATCTCTATCCCGAATTATTAAATCTGACTTTTAGTGATAACATAGTGCGTGGTGGAAATACGGAAAATGCTAATATACTAGCAATATTAATCTTTTTTCGCGTTTGTGCTCCATTGCTGTTTGAATTCTCTGATCTGCTTATTCAAATTATCAACTTGTTGATAATATGCAAAATAGGACAATTAGAGCTTGATTTATCCAATAGTGACTTAATTTACCCAATAACGATTTAATCGAGTGTGATAATATCGGTAATGTATATGTATATACCGAAAGACCCTGCGAGCTGGTGGTACTTGCCCTCCAGGCCATCTTGTAGCCGCACATTCCGGACAGTTCATTATCAGTTTCCCATCTTCGGGAGTGTAGATAGCTATTCTCTTGGTATCATGTCCTGTAATCGAAAAACTTTGCGATCAACTACCCTGTCATATAGCGTCAGAATTGAACTGCTTAATAAGTTTCATTTATAAAGTTTTAATTTTACAGAAATTAATAACTGTTATATAAAATTAATTAATTTTGTAATTTTTGGTTGATTTACTCACTACAATATTTGCCACATTTTAATTTATTTAGACTACATTCTCAATATGAAAATCACAAGTTTATCGGAAATGAATAATTATAAAATCGAGCAACGCGCGGCAAGATAAATTTTATTGAAATAATAGCTATCGATTTTAAAGTTTTTAATTAAATTTTTTGTCCGTTCTATTTTATTTTTGACTTTTCCTTTCTTTCTTTGTGAATGACCAGTAACACTGTTCGGCTTATGTGTCGGAAAATAAGTAGCGGAAGGAGATCGAGACGTCTAAAGGGACGTTTATTCAAGTTGGGAGCGTAATTTCCTCTCTCTTGGCTGTTCCTGATTGTTTGCACATCTACCGCTTTCTTCTCTTTATTGAGGGCAATTTTGAAGCAGAAATTAATTACGTTTCTAACTGGCGATATAAGTATAGAGAGAATTTTGCAGTCCGCGAATAAAAGGTCAGCGGTGTCAATTTGCAATTATATCTGATCAAGCTTTTGAGTGCTACACCAGTCCTCAATATTAATTCTAGCAAAACAGACGTGACTCTCGTCAAGTGTCGATGATTATCTTCTTATTGGGAATAGAATTACAGTGTATGGAGGTGTTGAAAGGGCGACGTTAATCAAATCGAGGCTTCCAATTCCTTCCACCTCATCGTTCGATGTCCTTAGAAAATCCATTACCCGTCCCTTTTTCTCTCGTATTCGTCCGACGATTTATCGGGCAGAGTCGATAAGCTCGGATATTCGCGAGACTGGCAAAAGGTGGATTGGAGCCGTGCAAATCTTGTTGGCATTGCTATCACCACACATTTGAGGTCGAAATTTCGCTAAAAAACCTATTCACTAAAAAACCTATAATGGATTGGGGACCATTCGATTAATATGGTCTCTCCTTTGAAAGCGATCGTCTCTTATAGCACAGCAAAAAAAAAAATTACGGCGAATATGTCATCAGACATATTTATTATTGAATTAATTTTAATCTTTTTCAATTAAAAAGTTAATTTTTTTATTCTTTAGTTGATGCTAGTTAATTTATTGCAGCATACGATAATTTTATTGTATTCGGGAACAAAATACATTTATCTGCAATATAATATAATGTTTAAACAGATAATATTATGTGATAGGAAATTGATAATCTATTATATTTTGATGATAGAGATTATACAATCGCATTCAATCGGATATCAAGCTTCGCAATATACAGATCAATTCGCTACCAATGCGATATTCAAACAGTCTTGGTTCAATAAGCTAATATGTGGTTGTGAAAAATAATCCTAATCTTATTATGACATTATTGTGCAGTTTAGGTAAATGAAAAGATTGTTGAAAAATAAAGTGTAAAGTAAATCTGAGAATAATCGTTTCCTAAAACTTACAGTCGCAGAAAACTTAATATCTCTTAAATGAATCTTTAAACAGATTTTTTTCGTCTTCCAAGATTATCGCATTCTATTTGCAGATACATTATTTAATTAGTAGTCAGTTATTACTAAGAAATAATATTGAATTATCGATGCATTATTGCTATATTTCATAACCTTATAACATCGTTTTCAAGACTTTTATAAAAATATTATTTGTATTTATAGGATAAAATTCAGACGCAATAGCGAGGAAAGAATACGCTTTTCTGGAATATCAAAGTTATTTTATAAGCCATATTTAGATTATTCGAGGGCATCATAAAATAAATAAATTCTGCATAAATCAAAGAGTTGCTTGAATAAGTAAGAATGCTACATCGAGTAAAAGACCGCAGGCTAACTAAACTCGTTTTCAAAAGGCATAGACCAGTTACACATTTAAACTGTCAGTAAACTACTTATCGTGTAACAAACGTGCAGGCCGAGAAAGCTTTTACCAATTTATCGTTAGTCTCGTTAGACGGAATGTCTCGTAGTACCACTCTAGAATACTCGGTATATTCGTTGACGATTTTCTCTTATATCGCTAGGAACACAGCTAGCTATGTTATTTGCAAACTTAATTCGAAAAGCAACAAAGAACTGACTGCTGTTACATTTATTCTTTCCACTAGAAATGGGAGATGCGAGCGAACGCTCGCAATTTATACTATCTATACTGTGTTTACGAGAGTTTCCCGTGCATTTCCGCGAGAGCTTAAACCCGTTTTGCACTAACTATAATGCGCAATCAAATTTACGATAGAATTTTATCTTTAATTTTATTTGCTGCATAGCGCAGGAAATATCTTTAGAATTAAATTTATCATATTAAATCTAAAGTTAAAAATGGAATTCTATCGCGTATTCTCCTTCGAATTTTCTCATATTTTAAATTGCGCGAGATGGGCCTTATAGCGCCCTGCTTTCAGCAATTTATTCGCCTTTCAGTGCATCGCGTGAGCTCGTTCCGATCTCGCAAGCTCTCGTCAGCGGCACGGCGATTATTATTTGATGGCGAAAGAAGAATTAGCACGTGATTTTATACCCGTAATAAATTGTTGGTCAATGCTTCGGATTGTATCCGACCAGTCGTTTTGAATATAAATGGATTAAGGGATCTGTCGCACGCGGTTTTACACGCGGTTTTATTTTATTTTTTACGATCGCTCATATTCCATCAGTGTGACGCAATTTTTCCAGTTAGCAACCCGCTGTAATATTTCATAATAAACCCGTGACAACGCACGTGATCGCTCTTGCGAGCTCTTTAATCCCACGTGCAAATTAAGCGTGACGAGTTTTCGACGCCGCACTTCATACTGAGTTGCTCCGCGACAAGGCAAACAGATCGATACTACTTTCCATACACTGAAATAACATTCTTTTCGGACAATTTCACGGGAGAATGAGCTAACGAAGCAAGGTAGGCGCGGTCGGTGGTAGTGATTAATGAGAAAATGGCGAAAATGACAAAATGAAATAACGACACAATAAATGTTGGTGACATAAACGCAATTGCTTGGATACTGCTCGGGGTCTCGGAAATAAGTGACAAATCTAGTTGACTCTAACGCGGAAAGCAATCATAAAATCTTATTATCTCGTTGTCATAAATAAAATGAAATTCAATCGCGCGCTACCGTTTCTCTCACTTGCTTACATCCGATTTTCTTGCAGCGTGATATGCAAACAACTTGGTGTCTCACTTCCCGCTTTCTCAAAGATAGCGGGTCGAATCGATATCCGTGGCATAGAAATCTTTTATCGTATCACTGTATTCTCCGTAACCCTCGTTGACCTATATGAGAAACCACCATCTAGTCGACTCTCGGCATCGTTCTCGATGCATTTCCTTTGTCCGATATTATACTCTTAGAATGAGCAGATAACATGGTATCAAGCGATATCCATGGCTTAATTTATTATAACGAGAGACAGGTAATCGCCTCAATTTTCCATTCTATTCGCGATTCCGATATCGCGCTGAAAAGCTCCGCGCAAGTAACGAGACTTAGCATTTGCCGTGAAAATCGACAAGCTGCGGGAAGGGAGTTTCATAACTGAAAACAAGTGTGCAATGTTAAAAAAAAAAAGAAAAGAAAGACAAGTCACACACACACACACACATAGGTGATGAAAAAACGGCGTGGCAGGTACTATTTAATTTGTCCAAACAGCTCTTTGTGCGGGCCGTCTCTGTAGTCGCTATTGGCGCCGGAAATTCGTGTCAGTTCATTGACTTTATCTAAAATCGATGCTGTCGACGCGTTGCTGAAAAAGAAGGCGTTTCTTCGCGAGATTCCGAGCAAGGTTAACGAGCTAAGCGATGAGCGCTTGATATACCGCAGACGGCGACAGTCGTGTTATCAGAGCGGCGTGAAAATGGCGAGAGAGGTCGAACTCGGGAGAGAGAGAGGAGCATCGTTACTTTATCCGCAACGAAAACCCGTAAGTTTCTAACACCCTTTGGTGAGTCACCTAAAAACTCTTCCTCTTTCTCTCTCCCCTAATGGGGAGGACTACTTCTCTCCCGCGCGCGATTGTTTTTGTCTCGCCCGGCACGTGACTAATGATTTTCCACCGCGATATATGGAGTGGAAAATAATGTTCGCGGATTCCGAAGGGTTTTTCATCGCGAAAAGATTGTACGCAACCACTGAAAGCGTTATAGAATTACGAGAATCGCGAAGGGTGGGAGGGACGCGAGTGGGAAATAAAATACTTACTTTGTGTCTTGAAACATACGGACGATCTCGCTGCAGAACAAAGAGAAGGGTAACGTTAAACCTTGCGGTAACGTACCGAGAGAGTCTCAACTTCAAACAAAGTGCTTCGGATTATCTGCGTCTCAATTTCTCTTTGTTAAACTGACTAGCGGCAGATGCTAATATTTGTCGGGAACTTTGCAGAATCTTTTAAACCATTCGATAACGGGTCGCTAGTACTATTGAGTTTAATCAATCTGCTGCTCAGCTAATAATAAAAAACAGCTTATCGTTTGCAATATATTGAATCGATAAATCATACTTACAACTAAATGTCCGATTGCAAAATTGGAATACATTATGAAATATGTAAACGGATAACATTTGACGTTCATCGTCTTTAGCATCTAGAGAAAAAACATATATACAATAAAAAGAGAAAAAAAAGAAAAAGTTGCGAAAGTATAAAGTAAAGTTTTTTTCTATGGAAGCATTGTTTCGAGACCGCTGAAGCTTCCTCTGTATCGAACAACAAACAGGTAGAGATACAAACGCAAAGGAACAATGAATCGCGACCTCGATCTTGAATGCACGATCGAGAATACGCACGAAAATGAGGCAATACTGCCGAGATACGCGACATTGTGGAAATATCATGTAATATCCCGGGCCATTATTCGTCGCGCACATCGCCGGGGCGCGAGCGAACGTGCGTGCATTCGCGTTGTGCATCCGCGAGGAGGCTTAATTTCGTAGAGAATTCTACGGTCAGAATCGTAAGCATACCGGAGGTCGGCGCTTCCGCGGGCCACTCGAATTATGCGCCAGCATTGTACTGCCGGCGAGAGGAGAACTCTTGACCCATTGTTCATTGTTGACGGTGCCGTGGATTTCGAATCTCGCCGAGCCAGACAGAATTTCGAATCGCCTTCGTGCAATTCGCGCGAGGCGCTGAGATACTTGGAAACGCGAAACGCCGCTTATCGATTGTCGCAAGGCGATTCGCGAACCACATCGTGAAAAATCCGGTGGCAACGCTTCCGCAGCTACATCCGTTTTGTCCAAATTCCACGCACGCAAAACTTTCATCATCCCGCAAATCCGTTTCTCGATGCAGATTTTCGTGCACGATTCAGCGCTATATTTTGGATTTTTGACGAGTTCGGTATCTATTTAAATTTCAGTTCTCGCGCGCACCAAAACTGTAAAACGCACGCGTTTGCACCGTCTGCAGCATACGATGATGCACTTAGTTTCTGCATTTAAATGACGCAATTTTCGCAGATTTATAGAAGTAATACGAATTCGTGACGCGGAATGATTTTCGGTTTCTTTGGCGACCCACAGACAGGTGCGCGATCTCTCCATCGTATATAAATGATATTAACCCAGTTGAAATTGCACTGCGATTTTATCAGCGTGGAATAAATTTTAAAATTTCGATGAAAACATGTAGACATGTCCCGTGAGAATAATACGAAAGCAATTACGACGGCATTTATCTTGGTTTTGCGGCCCCGTATTTTACATCAGCCAGTCACAGTGCGCGACGTGAGATAGTTGACGCACACGTTGTAATTACTAAAGCGTTAATTACTACAGCCAAATTGTACAGGCTGAAAGCGTTGATTCTTTACTGTAAAATTGCTTAGCAAATTGTTTTAACATAAAATTCTCCAGCGAAGTTTTCAAAATTGCTAGATAATATTAAAGTATAAGCGGTGCAACACATTACCATATCAGCCATAATCCAATAGATAAGCGTATCCGCCTTATCCCGTGGCCGAATTCGACCTCAGATTTTTCCGATGGAAAATATTAGTTCAGCTCGGCTAATATCATCGAAAGTACATCTCTCGACTCCGTCGTCTCCTCGCTTTCGCGCGCCCATAGATCTCAACGGGGGTCCAGTCTCATTAATAATTCATCGACTTTTTACAGACGCATAGAATGCCGTCGAATAGAGAATGCCGCGTATTGTTAGCCGTGTTACTGCGAGATTCACGACGACGATCCCATTTCATGGTTTATATCTCAGACGGAGACGACTGTCAGCAGGTATATAAACCGCGACATCAGCCGACCTGATGTTTGCTCTGCTTCATGTTCTCGCAATGAGAAACTGCTGGAAATCCTTACGAGCATTAAACTTCGGCGCCGGCGAGGGATTTAAGACTCTTTATTTTCAGGATCCGTTAACTCTCTCTCCCTCTCTCTCTCTCTCTCTCTCTCTTCTCTTTCTCTCAAATGTCATGGGACAAAGCTTCCTCGCAAAGTTCCACTTATGCAACGAGGAAATAAAATCGTCGATTCGTGCATCGAAACGTAAACGCTTTAGCATGACGCTGCAAAAAACTGACTGAATATGCAATTGCTCGTTTTTATTTTTGTCCCGTTATCGGGACGCCACGGTCACTTTAATGTATGCGAATTTAGGATCGCCGGGCAAATTATTTCACTGTAAGCGGATTTCACGCGTCATGAAAGAATCGCGAAGTCGCTTCCGCTTTACGTATATTCAATTAGCTCTATCAATTTGCTCATTCTACAATGATCATTCATTCAAATTACTCTACAAGTCAAAAATTTATTGTGCGCCCTATAGAAAAAGTTTTGTATAACTAATATATACATTCGCGCAAACAAGATGAGAAATAAAAAGCAAACGAGGAGCTATTGTTGTAACGCAAATAAACTGTCAAGGGGCCGTAAATTTCGCGGTCAAATATTAGTCCATTTATCTCGTGGAATTAAATTTTGCAAGAAACTTTTTTACATATTTCCGGTCCGCCATGTTTCTCAAAAAAAGAAAGAGAAAGGGTTTTTTCCAATATTGAAATATCACGCACAGTGATAAAATGGCACATGGTTTAATATGTTAAAAGACTTAATGCCCATATTGGAAATCCATAAGAGAGCAGGCCAAATACATTTCACGTGATAGTGATTGATTGCAATTAAATATTGAGGATAAAACAGACGCGCCGATTTGTAGGGCATAATGCATAATAGATTATCATGCAGCGGATGCAGGTCGACCTAGAATCACAATAACTTTATTCTTCGAAAAACACTTGTACGGTCTTAGATTCATATGACATTAATACAAGATTCATAAATTTCATCTTTTGACAAGAAAAATATGCCTGATAACAACAAATGTTGGTAACAAAGGTTTCAAAAAGTTTTTTTATTTCAATGCTTTTGATAATTCTGCTAAATGGCCTGTCAAGTTCAGTAAAACATGTAAAGCTGTTTTATTAATTTGTATTTAATTCGAGGTGACACAATGTAAGGGGTCGATACGCATCGATTTCCTGTTAAACCAGTCTGTGCAAGAGACATTCAGCTTCACGCATTATGACATGCCGCATGTAAATAGCATTTATAGAGCATTAAGCTGCGCGTGTATGCATAAAAGCTTCATATAGCAAATAATTACTATTGAACTTTTGACGATTAAAATAATCAGCGATGGCGAATAACTCGATATGATTTTACACATATAAAGGACAAAAATAAAAATTGAAGCATCACATGTGCGGGAAATCTGATTCCACTTTTGAGTACAAGAGGTACTCAGTTTTATAATTCAATGCTAGTTTCGCGAACGAAGTTAGCAGTTGCACAGTCGAGCTACGTCGAGTTAGCAGTTTGCGAAGTCTATGCGATTTCTCTCAGAGGCTCCGGACGAATGGGAATTTCGCAGCAAGTTTTCACGCCGATTTGTTAGCCGTATAACAGAATGACGAATTTCGCAAAATAGCAAAATTCGAGGTAATTAAATTGTAATAAATCCGACAGTCGTATACAGATTAATGTTTCACACACAATGAGGATATGAAAACATTTGTGTTGCGTATAAAATAATATGAAAGAGCGAATCAATAATACCTTGAACAGAAGTGACGTAAAACGCAAAAGTCACATGGAAAATTGACAAAAGAGCAACTGAAAAAAAAAATTTATCTCTACGATGATGAAACACGAATAAAAACCTGAGCCGATTACTGCGGGATGTGTCTACATCTCATTGCCTTTGCAGTAAATGCGGGCAATTTTATTTGTTTATAAAAAATATTGAAAAAGGCAATATTTTTCAGTATTACAATAAAGATTCACGCAATGTGCAATTAAGCAATATTACGAAAATATACAAACTGAATTTTTAATTTTCACGTACACGCGGTGGATGCGAATAATGAAGAGAAGAAATGATCAGGAAAAGGTAATCACAGCGAGAGTACTATTATACATCGCGCAGCGCAGCTTTCTCCGCTAATGTTTTTCCACATTACACATTTTGTCACGGCGACAGCGTTAACGTGGCGTTAACGATAAAAGGGAGACTAATTTTTAATTTAATGTAAGTGGCGTCACGTTGTCCCGCTGAGTACCAGTTACTTTTAAACGCGACAAACACTGTTTGCGTCTGTTGACAAGAAAACCACACGGAAGTTACTGAAATACGGAACATTCCTACATTTTTGATGACCTCCTCACACGTGCATACACGTTGTTTCTATATCCTCTTGTCATTTTAATTCTACGCAATGAATAACAGCACTTATTATACTTTGCGATTATGTAAGTAAGAATAATGTACGATTTTTTATATTAATTATTTAAATTGTAATAATCAATTAATATTTATTATATAAAATGTTTGATGTGCATATAGTTTAAAACATTATTGCCATTAAGTCTCATTGAAATGCATGAGATATTTTAACAGATCACTGCATGCAAAAATATCAGATTGGAGCAATTTGTGAAGTATCGACGACAACGGAATTAATCTTTCAAATTCTCCATATCAAAGCAAGAGACGAATAATCTCGTTTCGAGATTCACGGCGATCACATATCATACAAAGCGATTTCTGAAAGCAGGATTGCGCTTTCTATTCGAGAGAGCACGTAGTACGCGACGTTATATATGATATCCTGAAATCCGCGGATGCGTTATATCGAGATTCTAAAGCTCAGCGCGGAAATGCTCGTAAACAAAACGCATTAGCGGTGCTGCTAGGCGTATTTGATAATAGAAAACTCATAAATTGGATCATACGCGCGTCCGCGCCGGTTATTCTTGACGAGGGGATACGCGATATATCGCATCGTTAGAATCGAGCCATTGTCAATGCTTTCAACTCGGTAGTATCGTTTCAGCGTGCTTCGTAGCATAAGCTTTTGCTCATTGTGCGTTTAATGCTGCGTTGTTGACATTCAAACCGATCGGATAAAGCGTGAAGTCCAGAGACTAGTATCTGGCGAAATGTCCCAATGATTCGTCAGTGAAGTGTCGATCCGTGTCAACAATGACGTTTACCCTGCCGTGCTTAACTAATAGTTTCCTCATCTTTTGATTCGCGTCAATTAAGTTTGCGTTAAATTCAGAAATTCTACTCCAGAATAGTTCCGTCGCTCACGTAAAATTGTTTCGTTTTATTATATATTTTTACTTCAACATATCTTTATCGAACTTACCGTGCAACTGGTCAAATGCCGTGATGCCAACGCGATCCGCGTCGTTGAAAGAAACCGGTCCCTGCGAACACAAAGGGAATAAAGTGTATTCGGCGCTGTAAAATAACGGCGATATAGTATAAATTTCATAAAGTTATAAAGTATGAATGGTAATTACTGAACTCAATCGCCTTTGTTTGTTCACTGTCGGCTAATATAAATTAACGATATCGATTTTGAGCGAATTATTAAAGTTCTCTGTTTTAAAGTTCGTCGCGTTTAGGAAAAGGGAGGCAAAACATTATAACTCACAACTTTAAGCTTAGTCCGTCAAAAGTTCTTCATCTTCAATTATTACTTGAAAAATCGTTCGACATTTCTCTTGAGGAAGGCTGGGCTCTAAGTTAGTCAAAGGCAATTTGTGGATTAAGGATTTTTACAGGTAGTTGCGGAATGTTTTGTAAATATATAAAAATCTGTGCTGAGTAATTTCGTTCAAGTCTTGATTAATCCAGTCTTGCGGGCGTATTTCACAGTGCTTATCTTTCGACTGTCCCGACTTACCGAAACTCCGATGAAATGTAATAGCTTGAGCTGCTGCAGTAGATCGTAGGTGAAGTCTTTTCTCGAGTGCGTGTATTGCCCCATGCTCTCGTTTTGCAGATTCAAGAGGGCCTCGGTTCTAGCGAGAGCAAGTGCCATGGCCCACACGGCGTCGTATGTTTGCCTGGCGAATTTCGAGTCTGTGACGCCTCTATTAGCTAGCTCCGAAGTGAATTTCGCGCTAGTCTGCAAAATGAACGAGAGCAACGTATGAAACACCGGTCGGACAATTAGCGAAACATTTGCAATTGCTGTTCGTATAATTAAAAAAATTGAAGCAGAGAACGAAGGCTTGAAATCGACGGACAAGTGAAATTTAATTTAATTTGTCGTTTGCATCAACGACGCGTGTACTCCGTTTAGAAAGGAAAATATGTCGCAAACATAAAAAAAAAATTGCGTCGTCAAATTTAACATTTCGGCGATATTAAACTTATAATATTGACAAAATGGAAAAATAAAACAGTTTTAATTTTTAATAACGTTATCTTTATTTGAAGTGATGAAGCGCGTCGTAAGCTGGATAAACAAGGATATCGCGGTCCGAGATATTCATCGGAATAAATTTGCAAGAATAACTAATAAGAATAAAGACAAGAATAATACAGGTATAAGAATAGTAAACCCCTCTCATTTCTTGAACTTGTCACTTAATCTGATTATAAATCGCGCTTTATAGATCAGCGCGGTGAAGCATCCTTGAATTTCTCTGTATATTGCGAGTTTGCCGGAGAATCATCGGTGTACTATTTCTGCAATATTCGCGTCATATTGTACACTTGCGCATTTATAATTTTATGGTCAGAACTTTGAGAATTGTGTAGCGGAGGAGAAAATAGTGACGTTGGATCTTTTCTTTTGTTCGGCATACTTGAAATACTGTTCCGGAGGCTTAACTTTTGGAACGCGTTATCTTGTATGCCGTAGGCTGAAAAGTTACGTGGTGGCTTCCGGCAGAATGCGCGATTTATTATTTCATATTGATCAAAAATACATTAGAATGTCATGTAACTTATTTATTTGCATGATTAAGAGAGAGATAATCAGGATTTTCAACTCGATTTCTCGTATGAATAGCTTAATCAACGGTAGATGTTTTTTATTTTATTAGATTTTTATTTTAATGCGCAGCTATCAAAATAAAAATTTCCGCGTCAAATGTTATTTTTATTACTCGGTGAGACGAGGAATTACACGCGGCAATGTAAAATTATTCACGATGATATCGCGGGATACGCTTCCTCCGGCGATATACTCGGGACAGATCTATATTGGAAAACGTGTTCTGGAAGGTGTCGGTCGGATGTGAAAAGTACGACACGTACAATCCACAGACGACGACCCTGCGTGGAAGGCGCTGTCTATTTTCGCAACTTGTTCTTCTCCGAGTGTTCAGAATCGACGGTGACTTTTGACTGTCGATTACGTAGGCTTCTTGTAGTCATTAGACTGATTACTCGGCTTTGAAAGATCTAACGTGTGAAAGACGGCGCAACGCTCCCGTAAGGCGTAGCGCCTCTTTCTACTTCAACCCTGCGCGAGGTATTTAATGGAATAGAAAGGAAGTTCGTCTATAGCGTGGCGCCAAGACCTTTCAGCTTTCTTCGTTGCATACTCTAATTTCCGCTCGCGGGACTTCATTTACCGCGCGCTACGTTGCAACAGCAGCAGTCAGAGATTATTATCGCGGAGACTCCGCGATAAGCTTCCGCGTCTTTGCTTCCTTTTATAGGTCGTAGAATGCTGCAATTATCGCTATCGTTAGCAGTAATGGCCAGAACGACCGTCTATTTTTTATTGTTAACGTGTTACTTTATAAACACAGGATGCTTTACACGCAATTGTCGCTGTAAAAAAATTAACTTTAAATTGCTCAAAGGATACGCAGATCAAAGGAAGCCGAGAGAGATGTAAAAACTTTATACGCGCTGTTCTAACTAGTTTAATTTACGTGCATAATATATTAGCTTAATGTAGCCTTTATTAGCATTTTATTAATAAACCTCAATTTCACTTTACACGGTTTAAGTTTTACTTTGCGCGGAAACAACGTACCAGTCCCGAGGCGCTGATCTCGTCTCCCACGATCGTAGCGTGGCTCTTGACGATGATTAAACCATCCAAGGTCTGCGACAGCTGAGAGGGCGAGCATTCTCCGACACTGGTTCGCCACCAATCGCTCGTCATCCTCGGCAAGTCGATATCGTCTGGTAGAATCCATGCGTAATCGCTACCGTGCATCCCGAGGTTCCAGGCCTGCGACGGAAAAAAAGAGATATAGTTTGTGAGAAAAAGGGATGCCTTCTGGCATCTGTATTTCAAAATTTCCTGAATTTCAAAATCGGAGGGGTTCTGCTGTTTAACATAATATATTATATATGGTATATATAATATATTATATATAGGTCACACGAAAACACTCTGGCGCGAGATTAAACATTGCGGGTGTAAAAGAACATTGCTTCGGTTCATTGCTTTCGCGAACAATAGGCGCGAACGCACAATGCTGCGCCGATAGTACTGCATTATCGTGATCGATTCTGCACACACGCACACACGTGTATACACATGGCTCGTCACGTTAGCGCAGGACGATGCGACGTGAGATGCGGCTGTATCGCTTCGTCTATCGATCAGTTTACTTCTCCGATTTGCCAAGGGATGGGAGTTAACGCGATTATATCGCAATCACCTGGCGACCGGGTTTTAAAATCTCAGCCGGTGACGTCTCAGTTCGGAAAGGTCAGCGAGATTGCAGCGTCAGTTTGAGAAATATTTATGACGATCGCGTACTGGATGTTCCGTGTAATGAGAAATGACGCTGTGAAGAGAGTTGTTCGCGGACTATCTCTGGGGTGTTTTTGTAAAGTATATATCACGCCATGTGTCTCCTTCGTCCTCTTTCTACCTTTACTATCCGGCATTCCTACTTCGCGCTCGAGAATTCTCTTTTCAGTTTCACGGCTTTGCCAGGTGTACTTTGAGCATTGTAACGTCTGCCTAAGGCATTTTATATTGCGTTTTCGCTTTGCCGGTCAAGTTAACGAATGAAGTAGGTCGTCGTTACGAAATTGTATCTTGGCCGACGGAACTTCTTTCTTGCGGACTTTCTTGCTTTTACGCGCTCTGAGATACAATCGATTAATTTTTCTTCAAAGGACGCAATTATAATAATTTGTAACTGTGATAAAAGCCAGAGACGAGATAGTGATAATAGAAATATTTGATTTAGTTGTTATTTCTTTTTTCTATTTGTGTAAAGAATTCTATTCCGACAAATACTGGAAACTATGTTTATTATGCAAAAATGTTTGCGTCCTTTGAAGTGATATATTTCGTTGTAAATAAGCGGCGTATAGTGTATCTAGAGTGAAGAACGTATCAGCTCTTAAAGGATCTAAAAGGAAACGTTGAGAGTATTGAACACGTGCATTCTCGTAAATCAGACTGTCGTGTTCCTTTACAAGCGTAACAGCTAGTGCACTAAAAGTGGTAATAAAAAGTTGTTATCCAGTGCAAAACGTTGCACTGTATATATACAACGCAGTTAATGGCTGGGATTATTTGTAGTTTGGTGTAGATGAGAGAGAATGGCTGCTCCCGTTTTACTAAACCACAGTTTTTCGATAACAGTCATAAAAAATCGAAAAGCAAAATTATGTGTTTATTGAAAATATTACACGATTGCAGCAGTGTATAATTTTTTCTATGGCACGGATTTCCATTTGTGTGTCTCTGGCAATATGAATGGAAACCGTACTTGATTCAACCGTATCAATATAACAGCGACAGTAAACGATAGCGCGTTCAGCGCTATATACTTATCCTAGAAATGATCGATTCTTTCACATATGTATTAATGTGTTGTGGTTTCCATATTCATTGAATTATATTATTATTTATTAATATCAGAAGCAACTCTTGTCACTCGATATAGAAAAATAGATTTGCGGTGAACCGCGATTGGACGTGCGTCGCTTCGGCATATTCTACTCCTAGATTGATCGATAGATAGAAATTTGTCCATTTCACTGGAAAATCGTGCGTTCGTTACGTATGCGCCATCAGCGAATATCGACGCATGGCACAGAAAAAAAGAGAAACGGAAAATTGAGCGTGTGGGAACATATTGTTTGAAGAAAAATTTTTGTTATAAAAAATTTTGCGGAATACACTCGACGTCAATTGTTAATAATTGCGTCGTATTTATTTCTCCATAAATTGAGGTAAAATTAAATTCTATTTTATTATTATAACATAGATAATCGTTATATTATCATAAAAGGTCCACCATGAACATCACGATTCTTGCAGCCGTTGCAAGACATTTACGATATTCACGATAGAACGGTTATGATTATGGTTTAACTAGCAAGATATGTAATATATTACATCTCGTGTAATGCTATCATGATTATCTATCTATAAAATTGTTTTTAAAATCAAATGAAACGATCACACAGGAACATATCATGATTATTTCAAAATTATAAGTAAAGTATGACAAGTTTTTGAGATATATTGTACAAGCAAAGAAATAACATAAGAAATATATAAAAATAAATTCTTCGTATGCGTGTCTCACGTTTTACGTTAGGGAATTATAGCTGTCATAAGAAAATATGAGAAAGTATTAATGCTTTTTTTTTATGAGCAAATACTCGTGTTTAATGTGTCCACCAGCTGTTGCACAATGATCATGTCCATAAGGACTTATAGATAAGAGCGCCATACAATCTTTTTATTCGCTTATAAAAATAATCTCATCAATCTGTCAACCCTTATATGAGATATCGATCGATTACTCGGATATTATTCGTTTCTGTTCCTTATTTTGTTCTATTATTATATCATTTGGTGCGAGAGAAGCAAGATCTATGTATATAGGATGCCGTAACAAACGGTGCGAACGTGACCTACGAATATAAAACGTCGCGTAACGATTGAAGGATAGCCGTTTGAAGGGAAACGTGGCCCAGCATTGATCTAATAGTCATTCGTGAATCGCGTGGCAATCGCGTTATCGAATCGGCGTTATGGTCATCCCTTCGCACTCAAACCGGAAATTCATTTTCACGCGTCGTTTGTGTAATTGACCGATAGGAAGGATATATTCGTGTCCAAGGATCTCCATTTGCAGATGGTAACATATGCGACACATCCGTCTACCTCGCGAATATGAATCTCCTAATTTGATATTAAGGTCCCGTAATTTCGACATCTCGTTAGGTGGGTCAGGGAATATCTATAGAAACCTCGTGTGTATGTGACGTTGAAATTTTGCGTGGGAATGATCATGACAGGCGAAGAGAAATAGGTGCACGTGGACGTTTAAGGTGTCCCGTGTTTCACGTAAGATGTCATGTACGTTACGTGCGCTAGCTCGCGTTAATCCGTAAGGCAAACCGATATATTTCAATACAAACATGCACACTGGACGCTGACGTGGGCATACATGATTGTAATACAATGAGCTGTCCTTCGACCGCATAGCGCAACATGCGATATTCTGCTGAAATGAGAATGAGGGTCAGCACAACTTACAATAGCGCAAGCGAGAAAATGTCAGATTTTAACATCAGCTGAAACATGTAAATTATTTGAATCGGCTATTGTCTTTCAGAAACTCAGAATGAAAAAAATGTTTTATTCTTTGTGGACTCGGTGGACTTAATATACATAATATATTTTAAAAAATATATGAACCATTATTTTAGTATATGTGTTTAGCAACTATATTTAAAGAGACTGGTCTTTAAATACTGTTTTTTATTTATCCGAATAACAATATTGTATCGTAAAAATAACAATATTACAAACGAGCATATTAGTGTCATCATAAGAAAGGATTTTTGAATATTTCGGAATATATGAGTTAATCTCGCGCAGAAAAGCGGCTATGGAAACACGTGGGTGAACTTGGGAAATGAACCGTAAAATCCTGGAACACTAAACAGCACGATTTAAAGCATCGTACGCAATGGGTTGGTAAAAGGAGAGAGCCAAAGAGAGGAAGAGAGAAAGAGGAGAGGGAGACTTATTGCAACCTTGGTAATTTGTGGTGAGGGTGTAAGTAGCACATATATCCAGTGATGCAACGAACTAACTGCAATTTCAGCTCGATGCTTACAGTGACGTACACGTAGAAATTAGATAAGCGGAAATTTAATATGAAAACGCCACAGTCCACAGATTCTTCCTCAAAATAATTTGCAGATAAAATCTAATAATTTGATATCTTTCCTCTCTTTTCGTATTAATTTATCTCATAAAATGATGTAATAAGGACAGAAGTGGTCGAAAGTCAAAATAACGAAGGACAATAATCCGATGTAAAGTATTTATCAGTAGTCAGCGCTTGTTTTACGTCAGACATTTTCCGCCGAAACCTATTTCACTCGTGATGAAAATATTTGTTAGTAGAAAGAGTTTACTTTATATCAAACTTTATATCAAACTTTCTGGTACCGAAATTTATTTCATTTGTAATGAAAGTATTTATCAGTAGTTAAAATATGTTTTATGTCAGACATTTTTTGTTTGATTTTTTGTCCCGTTATCTCAACTCACTTAATTTTCTATTCTGTTGCAAGTAAAAAGCATTAATGTACACGGGATGCTTTTATTTTCTATGATTTTTTTTTGGCACGTACATCAATTTTTAATGTAGCTTTTTAGCTTTGTGCCGAATATTTGAATGAATTGTGTCCACGTTTCGTGTTATATATATACATATTTACAACGAAATTCGTACCTTGAGTTATACATTGGACGAACAAGAGAAATTGCAGTTATAAAGAATCCTACAGGAGAGAATGGTTATTACATACGTATAATAACAAGAACACAAAGAAACGCACTCGTTTATGAAACTTGCACCATTTTCTTAATGCTTGCTAAGATAGTACAGCATTCTTATTTGCTCTACTAAAGTTAAAGCGATCTCTTTGTTAAGATGTTGTGTATTTCATATTTACATAGCATTTACACTTGCCGCCATTTAATAACGCTATATGCCGTTATATAATAACAATTATCTGAACAAGTACTTGAACAGAATGAAGAATTTCGCAAATTATCATTGATCGACAAATATTTTGAAGTAATGAAAAAGAACAATAATTACAGCGTGGAATAAGTATTATGAAACAGAACGAAAAAAGAACAATAATCACAGCGTGGAATAAGTATTATGAAACAAAATGAAAAATTCTACTCTTGACTGATAGTATCAGTTTGTTATATATGTATCTTACGGCGTCTAATCTGCATGTTCATCACCACAAGCTGAATGTGTACTTCAAAACTCACGCGACAAACAAGACTCCGAAAGCTCCTGCGAACGGTTCTGTCTCAAATTACAAAGGAAGCGAGGTAGAAGGTAAACTCTGTGTGTTCTACTTCAGCATTATAGTTATGTGTTATATTGCGGTTACTGATAACACATCTATTTGATATATCTGATATCCGCCATCTGCTTTTGCATAATATAAATGCACGTATATGATAAATAACAGAGCTGCTTTATTTAGCGCGATAAATGATAAAAGAAGAGATTACTACATGTGTACCACTACTGTCACACATGTGCCTGAAAAATCAAGATATATTTGGCTCGATAGCTTATACGTGTTATACATGTTATAGTGCACCCTTGAAAGAAGATTTCATGACGTCGTGGATGAAGAGTATAAAAGCGCTTCAATTTTATTTTTCACTCTAGTTTGTAAACGCTTGCGAAAAAAATCGCTATCAGACTGCTTCTACGTTCGAGCGCTCGTAAAATCTAACAACGTTGTAAGGGTTTGTCGGCGCTCTTCTCTTGCGGAGAATCGTTGATGTACTGCACGTCAGTAGATGAGAATACAGAGACGAATCCTTATCGGCAAGTAGACATCATAAATTCAAGCTATTCATGATGGATGTGTTATTTTTCCGAAAAATTCATCGTCCTGCTTTCATAGTACCTACTTCACACGAAAGTGATTTTTTTCGATTTTTATTCCCAATGACGTATTGAACGATCGAACACGATTGGACGTATATTTATTTTCTACAATTGCTAGATTACGTAATTTTGACGTCGATGCGTAGTTATCACATTTTAAGAGAATCTCATTTGGAAGCAATGGAACGGACTTGTGAAAGAACGTTTTATTACCTCTTTAATAATAATTGTAAAAGAGATAAAGTAGATAATGTCGCTACGAGAAAATTAATCGAGGTAATTGGTAATGATGTTCAAAAGTATGAGCGGTGGAAAGTTAAACTTTTAAATGAATTTTATAGTCACCGGGCGCGCAACAAAACGCGTAAAGTTCTTGCGAATCTAACGAGTCCAAGGGTTTATACACATTCTATCTATCTTGTGCTTCGGCAAAAAACTCATCCCGCATTCTACTGGCAAACGCAGAACAAACCAGTAAAATTGTTTTTTCACTGCTGAGAATTTCTATCAAACTAAAGGAAACTTTGCAAATAAATGGTCGAAATGACGATTTAATTTTGCTGAAATTGCACGAGTTGTAACACGTGAGTTATTAAATATATTATTAATTAATCTGTAAGAATGTGATTACTCTCTACCGTTTTCTTTATAATTGTGTAGACAGTTTGCCGAAAGTGATTCTACGTTTTATCTTTTACGATTGAATAGAAATTTATAAAATTTCGAAAATAATTTTTGTTCATTAATTTAAACTTACCTCACAGAAAACGCGTCGCGCCAATTGCGGTGAGAAGCTTCCAATAATAATTCTAGTATCCAAGTCCTGTAATTAAATGGAATAACGATTTGTATATCTTTTATTGAAAGTTTCAGTTTTAGTTCAATAAAACATCACTAATACATTTCATACATATACCGTTTGATTGCAGTTATTGATACTAATAAAGCAAAAGAGAGAGTTGCGATTGCAAAATTTTATTCACATAGTAATGCCGCGTTAATCCATGCAAAATTTTTATTCCAAGCTTTTTACAAGTTAAATATCAACAAATGCTTATTCAATTATAGTACCAAGGTGCAGTTGGATTGCTCGCTGGCATAATCTGAAATTGGTTTAATTCGCATACATTAATACGGCAAATGCAAATTTAATCCCAATGCGATTCGCATCGCGCCAATCGATACTTCAGCGTTCACTTCGCGAAAACGAACTTTGCATTTCAAAGGTGGCAAATTACAACTCCGAAAGACGACCCGAACTCGTGGCAGTACCGTCGGTTAAACCACTACTTTCCAACTGGATCTAACTGCGCGAAATGATCGTTACGAATCCTCATTGTCGGACTGTGAGGAAAAAAGAATGGCCGAAATGACGTTTCTCAAATGCGACTTACCTTCAAAGTTCGCAATTGCTCCTTGTAATCGTTTTCGGCGAACGTGATGGTGGCGGTACACGTGATATTCGCCTGCTCCAGTTCCGTGACCAAATCGTTCACTGCCTGAAACAGAGATGCGTCATACGTGCAACATGCGACACGAGTGACAGCGACAATGTGTGTCATTTGTTCAGCTTGTTCTATTTCGATAAAACAAGAATCTTCGTGTCATCCTTACAAATATGCATCGTATGTTACAACGCGACGTGACGGAATTTGCTTCGTTATTCGAAAAGGATCATCGCGCGTTTGTTTCGCAATTGCAGCTGTTCCTTCTCGTTTGTATCCGACATTTATAATTTCTAATCCCTCGTTTGTATTACACAGTTTAATTGGCGGCACGCAATCTATATCCGCAGTCTTGGATTATACATCGTGGAATATATATAAGTATACACAATTGGAAGTAACCTGCATGTATGATATTCTGTTGGATTCTATTATATATAGATGATATATACTTGGGCATTTATGAGCTGCTTCAAAAGTAGTTTGGAAATAATATGAATTTTAACGAAGTGCGGATATAAACTGACGCAATGCCTCGATTTTCGCAGCATTTTCGCAACTGCTCTGAAATAAACGACTTATGTATACTTTGTTACAAAGTCCAAGTTTAAAATCTTACTTCTTTTACGTAAGAGAAAAATTTTTAAGTCGCCGGTCAGATGTAAATATATCTGGAAAAATATATAGTAAAATAATTTTATATTTAAATATTAACTTTAACTACTTTAACATAAATTTATTTTTATCTCCAATTTATCGCTCAGCTATCGCGTTTCGAAACGCAGCTACTGAGACGCTCTTGCCTTTGTTCATTATATATTTCTAGCCTGTATTAAAGCCGGATATAATGTGTGATAGCTTCCGTTACAATGTAACGATGAAAATTGACCGAGAATTAACCGAAACGTGATATCTAACGCGCGACATTCTGGTTAACTGCGCGTGGCTACAAATCGAAAGTTAATTAAAGCCGACATAACGGAAACTTCACTGTAGAGACCGCACGTCATACCGAGTACAAACGTACTTCCGCGGTGTGGTTTGCAATTAAATACGCGGTTACGTAAAGCGAGATATAGATAAATATATCGCGAAAAATCCTCGCGCGTGCTATCGTATTATTGCTTACTCGCGTGCATTCTCATATTTCGGCCATCGGATTTTACTTCATCTGGATCTCGATATTTATGCCGTAAATGTAGGAAGAGTAGGTATTGGATTTATAAGTGGATATTTTTAGTGCGAATTTCAATCGTGATTAATGTCAACTACAATATACGCGCGTTCTTTATGAAGCCGATTTCCATTATTATTATTACACGGTGAATATAATTTTCCAATTTGCCTGTAGATTAATAATATTTTATAACGTTTATTTATTTGACAATACAAAATAGAAAATTGTATTAATTTTATGTGCAATTTCCATTTATAGCTTCACATATTTGTTTTATGTGTCGCGTATTGTGTAGTTTAAAGACCAAACGGAGAATCAAGTGACCTTTGAAAGCTTCGGACACGATCTCGAAGAAAAATGATATACTATCGATATTACGATACAAGTTATTTCCGGTACGAACTATTAAAGTGACGGAAAACCGCTGAACTCGAAGCTACTCCGATAAATTCGAAGAGTTGATTTGCCCGACATCCGTGTTCCTTACGACCTACTTACCAAGGAGTACATGTCGCCTGTTTGCGAAAGCGCCGTGACGGTGTCCCATCCAAAGTGTTTGATCAATGCTATCCTCGCCGGATTGTGACTCGAATCCGGCGCGACGGTTCGCAGGAACAGGGGAAACTCGTTGGAATCCGAGAGCGCCGGTGCCGTCGAACCAAACGATACTTGAATCACGTTCCAATAAGGTACAATTTTGGCCAGTGTTTCGGTCACTTCAGAACAAGCGGTGCCGAGCAGAAATGGCATTAAATACTTTTTCTTCGGCGCGTATAAAGCGTGAAAGAATCTGTCTACGGCCACTCCGGAATCGCACTGGAAAAAGAAGAGTAAAATTTCAATGGATTTTATATATGAAAGATAAAGTAACTACTGAATAATATCGGTGATTGTTTACAGAAATATCTTTCAAAATTAAATTTACCGTTGAAGAATGCGGTAAATTATTTTAGTAAAACTGTATATGTCATATTAAAATGTTGTAAATTGCGCATTCATAAAACTGTTTGAAAAAGATTCAGAACTGTCATAATGCAATGAAGGAAATGGAGCCAATGTGAATTGAACGATAAAAATTGCACACATTTCGGGCGAAATAAATGATTACAAATAGCGTCATTACGGCCAAGGAAAAAGTAAAAAAAAACGCGTTTTTCATGCTGCGAACAGTTCCGAAGCATTAAGATGAGCGAGTGAAAGACCTGGTGTACCTTAACGAGCAATTATTCAACGCGAATGGAGACCGAGGTGAACTCGAAAGCGTGAAAAAAAAATAACTCGAGGGTTTTCGTAAAGATGCAGGACGGCAAGTTACGAGGAAGCAGGGACTTCTCGATCCAACTTTTACACAAGTGCTATCTACTCCGCGCCTTGTTACGATTTCATTGGGTCTCGATGAGAGAGTATGCTTCGGAAGCCGGAACTCCACCAATCATCTTCAACGAGAAAATTGGGCCCTCGGCGTATCCTTTCCCGTCCAATAATTTCAGTGACCTTTCTAAAAAAATTATATTAAGAACTGACGGTATATCCGATTTAGCTTGACACAATTAAAGTTCGGAAACATAGATATTCCGCTGAAGCATCGATATTGGATAGACGCAGACCGAGAGAAATGTGGAATATATAGTTTTTCAAATTACGGTAGAAATCTATTTTCACGAGGTGATATGCTGAACAAGTCTGCGTCACCTTCGCAGCACGTTTCTAGCGCCGTGTCTGACAATATTCTGGACGTAACTACTAGCTTAACGAACGCTGTGTGTCATGCATATCCATGATTTTCGCGGCATCTCTGTTTACGAGGACAATCAGCTCGTGTGAATTCTTGTTCGATACCATCCAATGACGTTGTTCAATTTCTCAACATGTTCGTCTCTACGTAAACTAAATTAGGCGAGAAAAAATTAGCACTCATAATAGAGTTATAAAGCGCGAAACCTGTTGCGTACGAAATAAGGTCAGTATTATTCGAGACTTGGAAACGAATAAGTGATATTAATATAAGATTTCCGCGGTGACGAAAGCTTTTACGTGCTCTAAATTCTTTATTCTCCTTAAAATACCACAAATTTAATCATTCACAAAACAACAAATGAGAAACATTGTATAAAATAATAAATACGCATAATAAATTTTTCAGAATATATTATATGTATTTAAAGTTTTATACAACTCGAAGTTTCTAAGTTTTATATTTTCTAAGTTTTATATTTTGATGGATATAACACAATGTGCAATATTATTTTCCTGAATATAATAATATTAATTGTAATCGAAACGCGCAAAATGCTATATTCGTTTCCTAACGATCAATGTTGCGCGAATGCCGTCCTTACATCGATCATAATTCATCTCCGATAATTAAGATGTCAGCCATGCTTCACACTGCAGTTGACACATATTCTGGTTTTCGCATCAGTTGTCAAATTAGTGGCACAGATACTGTTAGACTGTAATGAATATCGTTAATTGTGCCTCTATAATGAACGATGGACCATAATGTCTCTTCACTCAAATAATTTACATAATGATATAATTTTGTTCTCTTCACCTTATTAATGGATGTACTGTAACAACTTGACACTAATAAATCAACATGCAACTCGTGCGTTTTGCAATGAATAAGGATAAAAATACAATTTATACAATTTATTTTTTTATTTTTTTATTTTTTTGTATAGAATGATTTAGTTTCTCCGTGTTTCTTTTTCTTTTATAATGTTACACGAGGTATATTAACGTTCCCCAGATTCGCTATGAATGTCAGGCACTGCAACAGCAGAACAGATTGTCGGTAAAATCTCATATTACATTTTTCATGTCGTCATGACAGCTTTGCGGTTCAACACTGTGAAAACGTGTTACACTGTGGAGAGACGAAGAAACATAGTCGACGTGCGAATCTGACAGCTAGGATGGCGCGGAGCCTTTGTGATAAATTGCTATTATCTTGAGAGATAGAGAGGATCAATGGTGAGGGAAAGTGGTATCGACGCGGTGACGAATGGAAATGGATTCTTGAAGCGTTCGCGCGAATTCTAGTATTAAAATACGCGGATACCGCCGCGGCTCACGTTCACCGGCGAGAGACTAAGTTAAAAAGATCCCTTTGGCTGCGGTACGAGACTAGGTTGAATAATTTCCAACTTACCGTTTCGCGGTAACGGGTTTATGCACGTGGTCTGTAAACATTTTCCACGGGACAAGTCTTCGTCGCGAAAATCGACATTCGTGGAATATACGACCTGGATTCTTCTGCGGCGAGCACGCCGCGGCGTATTTGTTTTAACAACAGAAATGCATTTTAAACTTGCGTGCGTAGTTTAATATAAGGACTCACTTCCAGGATAGTTCCTCCGTGATTCGGAGTATGTGAACGACAAATATTTGCGACGTAAAATGCATAATGAAAAGATAACAGTACGAGTTTCTTACGAGAAGGAGATTTATATTGGCCATAATTGTTCACGGGCCTCCCCCCCCCCCAACGTTCTCGAAATTTAATCTGAATCTTCCCAGTATTTCGGAACAATGAATATCGCTTTTCGTTGTTTAATGGCTCGCTCCCTTTTCTTGTTTTAAACAAACTGCTCTCGTGGGAGCGCCGCATTGTGCTATCTATCTACTATCTGTACTGTTTTATTTTCCATGCGCATTTTTCAAATGAACTATGAATGATCATTGCACCAGGTTCTATCGCTGAAAAACTGCTGTTAGCACGTTGCTCGAGCCTGTGATGTGCAACCACATTAATCAATGTAATCTTGTTAATGTAATCTTGTTAATTTTATGTGAGCTGTTGTTTTTAACGAGAGATACAGATAAGGCTATCTTATTTGTTATTCAAAGTTAAATTTAACGTGTTTTATCTTTATTCAGAAGAATTATCCGCATCGGATAATTATAAAAATTTGTACATTGCTTATATTAACTCTATGCTCGTCGGCATAATTCAATTTTCATTAACCGACACAATTGCAACTACAGGTATCTCTACTTAAAATCGTGTTATCTACTGTGCGGAAGAAAAATTAAAAAATGCACGTATCGCCGTAAAAGACTGCGAGCCGTCCTTACATACCGCTCCACTTTGCACCGGCCTTTGTGCGAGGAATGTTGGAGGGAAAAAAACTCGGTGGTCAAGCTCATATCTTTGTAAAATTCTATGCTGCGCGGCGCGCGTCTGTTGCCGGACTGCATTAACATTTTGTAGATTTGTCTCGGACGAAGACAACCTCTGCTAAATGCAAAACTTCATGCGGATCTCAGTAACATCTGATGGCTTCTCACGAAAAGTGACTGCAATCTCCGTAAAATATGCAACGCAAAAAAGTACTGCACAGTACACATATGCGTTCAACCACAGTCCTCTTATCTACATAGACGAGAGAGTCTCGGGAGAATGCCTTTATCCGCTTCAGCGCATCTACGTCGAATAAGCCCTTTAGAAACGTCAGACAATAAACGCCCGCGTCGCCTAGTCCTTCGAGATCGTCGGTGTATCGACATCGTGAAAACACAATCCACTTCGTCCATCGATAGTTCCGTACGATATCAATGTGCGTCTATTTGTACGTGTGAGTGGTCGCGGTGTGGTGTAGCGTACGTCTAAGTTCGCTATCGACCAGAAAGCTTCGAGAGTCGAACTGTTTCATGAATGGGATGTAACCGAGACAATAGTTGGACGAGGCGTTTTGTGTCGCGCACTCTTGTCGAACGAAGGACCGGACGTGCGAGACAATGATACATGGAAGTAGTGGGGAGAAGACGACGAAGAATAGGGTTGGGATGGCGAGAATGGACCGTGAATTTCCGGAGATCGATGCGCTGACCTAGCAGATGCGCCAGAGGGCCGCTGTTGATATCTCTTTTCTCGGGTGTACTTCATCCGCGCGGAGCTTCCATCGCTTTTATCATAAAGTTCCGCGAAAATCGCTGATGCCGTACACCGGGACGGCGTACTCATCTGTCATAAAGCAAGACCGACCGATAAACCGCTATCGGCCAGGCGGAATCTGTTCCGCGGCTAGACGTTGCGGAAGAAACAATTGGGATAATGCAATCCGCGCGCTGGATAGCCGCCAAACCGAGTGAAACGCGTGCCGCGTCTGTATCTCGCATCGTTTCCTCATCACTTTGAAACTACGTTAACTGCGGCTAGCAATTTGCGTGAATCATACAACGCGAATCCTTTTACTTTGAACAAAATATGCGGTATAAAAAAAAACGATAAAAACAATTCATTCGATATACGGATGACGATTAAAGCGAAAAAAAGAATGAAACGCATGTGCCGCAATTAATTCACATCGGAATATAAAAGCGAAAGTATTCCGATACTCATAACTGCTCTAATATGCAGCGGCCAATTCAAATAAAAGAGAAAAAAAACCAACACACGACGTAATTCATCCTCGATTACTTTTGACTTTTTGTATTCTTGTTAGTATTATCGGGGTGATGGATGTTAAAACGAGGCTGAGCAAGGCAATGCTTCAACCGTTTCTATTCAGAAACGGTTCTCTTCACCTCTCGTCTCTATCCTTTTTCCTCTAAATGAGATTTTTATGAGACAATTTCTTCGAGCAAAATTGTTTTATGATCATATCCCAAACGTCAATAAGACAGGAAAATCAAATGGAGGACGATAACAATGTGATTTTAAACCCATCAATCAGTGCGTGACATCCATGATAGATGCCGTGAAAACTACCCGCGAGGAATAATATGAAGAGCAAATATACAATTTTCTCTCTATCATAGTGTGCGCGTCCTGTATTTCTTCTTTCAATTTCTTTCTCTATTCTATCAAT